CCTTCATCTTGGGAAGATATCTGTGTACGGTTAGTATACCTGAGTCGAGCTGAGGGTCATCAAGTACACACCTCCTGAGCAGACCAACAGCGCTGGGGGTGGACTGGAATAATGCTGGGTTCTGGGACAAATCAAAGAATCGCAAATTCGGTAGCTTGACCATCACAGGTAAGATCTTACAGAGTGCCGAAGGCGTTAAGTTACAATCGGCCATGCCAAGTCCCCAGAGTGTCGTATCATTCTCGATGGCGGTTGCCAAGGCTTCAGTGTGTTGGCTGAGATCATTGCCGCCCAAGTCGAGACCTTCGCAGTGACCCTCTGTAAGAAACTTGACAACATGTTTCATGCCCTCTGCATCGATCTGGTTGTGCGACAAGCCGAGTCGTTTCACGCCACATTGAATCAGACCATCGATGATTGTTCCAAGCTGACCCATTGTCAACCCCGTTTGGCCGATATTCACTAATTCGAGCGTTGATCCCCCCAATCGCTCTCCCAAAGCAGCGGAGAAGATGCTCGAGATACTTCGGGGTATATGAACTCCATTGTTGAGTGAACCGTTGTGCTGTGATTGAGGCTGGCGCGGGAATTGAATGTAAGAGACATCGAGGAATTTAAGCGATCGACATAAATAGATGAAAAGCGAGAGATACTTCCATCCATCAGGACCTATCTTATTGTTCTTCAGGACAAGTCGCTCTACTACGCCTCCCTGATCCTCATCATCATGTTTGGGTTTCCGCCGCCTCACAGCTGGTCTCTTGGCAGCCAGCAGACCGGCTAGGATAACTCGCAGACCTTCGTCGCCAAGCCCGCTGTTCTCTAAAAGTATTTCCCTCACAGGGACGATTGCAAGGTAATCTCCGAGAGTGATGAGATCTGGTAATTGGAGCCAATAATCTGTGAGATCAAGTTTGTTGACCGTGCCAGTCGAGGCATTGTAGTTGGCCGTGTCGGTGAGTTGCTCAGTGATCTTTTTCAAAATTGGCGTTTCGCGAAGCTGGCAGCATCTTCGGTATACTCGCACAGGGTTCGTGGTAGGTGCCGTCTGAGGCTTGTTGGTCTCGGGGCCATTGGGCGGCGTTTTTGTTTTGGCCGAATCATCACTGCTGTCATAATGAATCTCCATGGGAATGGATCCGTTGGCTTCGGCCAGTTTTCGCTTCTTCTCCTTTCTGGCCTTTCGTTCTTCCTCGCTCTTCTTCTTCTTTTCCTTCTTCTTGGTGTTTTCTTCCTTTTTCTCTGACACAAGAGTTGGACTGCCATTGGCCACTTCACCAACTTGCTGAGGTGCTTCAGTCCCTTCCTTCTCGGGTTCCTTTGGCAATGTTTCTCCGGTTGTCTTGACTTCCCCGATGGTTTCCTTCTGCTCTTCCACGGCCTTTGGGTTTTTGAGGGCCTCACCCTCACCCTTCTCGGTCAACTTCTTTTTCTGAGCCTTGTCGGTCGTTTTAGGTAATGAAGAATCGTGATCAGCATATTTGGGCTGGGGCGCAATCTCAACATCCACACAGAATGCGACTCTTCTAAGTTTGGCACAAGAGAGCTCCGATATAGGACATCTTTCTCGACTTTGGTCGACATTCAGAACCACCCTGTCGACAAGACCATGGCCAAGTTTTCCGCTTTGCGAAAGAGCCCCATTGTTAGAAGAAGACAGGCGCCGGAACATGCCCAAAAAGCCGGGTTGTCCACTCCTGGGCGGAGCTGGTATATAAGGGCCATCGCCTTCGGGCTTCGCAGCATGGGGGAGCACGGCGTTCTTTGTATGTGGCAACTTGGGGGGGACGGGGTCTGACGGGGGCGCGGGCGACGATTCTGGTATGGGAGCTGGCGAAGGAGGACCGGCTGGCGGTGTATTAGAGGAAGAGAATTTAGCAGAGATATTAGAGAACCATGAATTGCGACGATGAGGCGAAGTGCCAGGAGGAGGCTGTTTATCTATAGAATTGGAGCGTGAAATTCGTTTTGTAGCTGAGGAGCCATTTGGAGTCGTGGACTGGCCATTGGTCGAGATATTGGAGTCTACGGAGGCGTTATCTGTGGGAGCCGAAGCCGGCGACTTCGGTCTAGAGTTTGCGCCAGGGATCTGTCTTGGAAGAGCTGCTGAGGGAGTTTTGGTGGGCGGTGAGTTCCTGGCTGCTTTATCTGTTTACGATATTAGCTCTGGGTCTTGGTCTAAAGAGTCAGAACAAAAGACGCGATGCGCGATTTGGAGTTTGGGCGAGTGGCGAGTGGGAAACATGCCTTTGGAAGCACCATGGGTCATCCAGCTGACATCAACGCCATGAACCTGCTCCATAGTGGGAGGGGAGCCGAGACGGCTGTCCAAGATGTGAACGAGATAATGATGATAAGAACTTATACAAGTTTTAACAGTGTTTATAAAAGCTGGCGCCGAACTGAAGGAGGAGAAGGGGTGAATGAGTAATGAGTAATGAGAGAGGAGAGAATCGACCAGAGATGGTGATTAGTGAGGTGGTAGTGGTAGTGTTGGGATGGATGCCATCGATGGCTCTAGCCCCGAGTAAAGGTAATGTATGGATGGCTAGCGAATCCTGGAGACGGGCTGAATGAGGTATAGTTAAGAGCTACCTTAGACTAAGGTATGGATGGTATGGTTAGTAAGGTACCTAGTCAAATACAGTAGAGTGCCGCTAGCGGTTCGCAAAGTACAGGTACTTTATGTGGGCATCCGAGAGGTACCTACTAAGGTTAGCTTGGTCTGGACTACCTAAGGTATGCACGAGGGTCGTCTCGACCTGGAGTCGGAGCAATGACGACGGAGGATGAAAGAGGAGATAGAGATGGGAAGCAACCTGGAAGTGATGAGTATGTTGTGCTGTATCTCCATACAAAGTGAAGTGGAAATCGGGGGAGAATTATGACAACATCCAATAGCGGGGTAGGAGTTTGTCACAAGCAGTTGAAAGTCCAGCGCAATAGCATGAGGCAGGTTAGACTACCTACCTTAGTTATCCAAGAGGTAGCATTATTTGCTGCTGACCAAGAGGCAAAAGCCCGAACCCTAGCGCACTTTGTCTCGAGCTGAATCTCGAGTCTCACTCAGTGATACAATAAGATGAACATCGCCTCGTCGCCACGCCTTGCTACGGGTAAACGAGGCATTGAGTTCAACAGCCGTACGTAAGGGCAAGGGTAAATTTGTTTTTATCGGTACATGTACTTTCACCCTGCCTTCTCATTCCCCTACCCGCGCGCATGTACCGAGCCGACCGCAACCCCGGGCACAGAAGTTTAGTATCAAAATGAACGTCAGTGCAGAGGGCGGCTATTCCAATGATGGAGGGATTGGATCCATGTAGCTGTACGGAGATGTAAGCGGGCTCTGAGCCCGCCAGCCAACTGGGCGTGCTGTATAAATCCTCAGTGGAATAATGATTGCATTAATTCATGATAAATCGTTGCACGAGGTCAAGATAAACCCTTGTTCACTGCATGCAACCTTCGGCTCAGCCCATCATGAGCAAAACAGCAAACAAAAGACGTCACCCCTCTCTCACAACCACTCAATTCTTGCGACAGACGTTACCAGGATTGGTTATGATGAGCTTTGTTCCATTGACCAGAGTCCGAAAATCCGGCGTCATATTTGACTGCTAGGAGGTACCATACCTCCACTACTACCTTAGTACCTTAGTCAGGTCGGGTCGGTTCCATTATGCTCTGAGGTTCGAGTCTCCTGCAGTGCTGGACCCTCCATTACTTGGCAGACGATGTCATTAGAGTTCTCTCCGTCGCACAACATTTTCCAAGGGAGTTGGGAAATGGGCAATATCAAGGAGGTGGAAGATGGGGAATATGTCTAGAGATGCCGACTTATACCCTGGCCTGTGCCGAAGCTTTTTACTGAACCCTTTTGGACATCGTGGGCCAGTCTCCCTTTTCCCAGACATTTGCTGTACAGCAGAAAAGGGTTGGCATCGCAGGATATATCCGATCTTCATTTCCCTCGATTGCACCAGTTGAGGAACCCACCGGGTCCATCCGATCCGACACCAGCTGCGACAGGAGTTTCTATAACGTTACGTCGGGCCCCCGCCACATTGACCAGAATCGTCACTGATCACACAGACTAGGTAGACTGAATGATGCTCTCGGCCGCGGAATCATGGCCTTCTCCGAGAGCGAAAGGCGGGCCCCCAATTTGCGATTTTCTCGAAATACTGCTCAGTCCGCTGTTATTGAATCCCGACCAGCATGGCGGGCCTAAACTAAGTAAGGAGTATTTATCAAAGTCTTATGTACTCCATCATTCCCACATCATGACCATTTCCGAATAGACGTCTCTGAAATGGACTCTTTTCCGAGCAATCGAGCAGCCAGTCAGTCTACCTATCTACTAGTTGTTCTCAAAATCAAATTCCGTATACCTCAATAAGTGCGATATTATACAAATAGGAAATCCGGGATATCCGGAAGGAACCTAACACGGCCAACGGTGCCTGTATCAACTCTATTAGACATTAACTTCGGAACATTACAAGATTATTACACGGAAGTCAGATGCGTTCCATTTTCTTCTTCGGTTATCATTTCTGTCAACGATGCTAAGTGATACGCAACAACAACGCCAAATGCTGACAGTCATGTCGAGTGCTGACCATTTCGTACAACCACAGGAGCCCTCTCAATTAGATCATTCGTGGGTGCTGAGGTTCATGGCCAAGATTCAGCCCTGAAAATAAGACTCGCACTAATCCTGCAGCTGCCACGCTAGGCCCGCCAAAGGGTAAGGGTTCCTCTCCATTTCTGCACACGCACACATAAAACACGAGGACTACGCATGGCAAGCATTAGACAGTTGGAGTAATGAGATGCCCGTTCACCACAACTATGGAATTTGGCTGGAAGGTATCTTTTTGGTAATTCATTCATGTGATCCTGTTTACGGACCTTTCCTTTCCTCGAAACTCCAAACCCAATGCCAAGGTTAACAATCCTCAAATGCCCGTGACCTGATGAGATAAAGCAACTTTTTACTCCTGCTGGAGAAGCTCCTGGATACGCTCCTGTACGCGCTGCTCCTTCTCCTCCTTGGTGAGCTTCTTGGTCTTGTACTTCTTGGAGATCTCCTTCCACTCCTCTTTGGTCTTCTTGGGAGCGTCGCTCTCGGCCTTCTTGAAGGGGTCCTCACGGATGGCGGCGTGAGCCTCAGTGTAGAGGTCCTCAAGACCCTCAGCCTCGACATCGTCGTCGACGTACTTCTGGAACTGACTGCGGAAACGCTCCTCATCGTCGTCGGCAAGGGTCTCCATGTACTCAGCAACGTGGCCACCGAAGATGTAGTTTCGGAGGGTGTCGGCATCGAGCTCCTTGGTCTCCATGTCGTAACCGGGGAATCGCTTCTCGGAGTGGGGAACAAGGATACCACCGTCAGAGGCGCCCTTCATGGCACCAAAGACACGGGCACCAGTGGAGGTTCGCTTCAGACCAACATCGAGGAAGACCTTGAAGGGGCGGCGCTCGCCATCATCGGTCTCGGCGGCCTCAGTGAGCTTGAACTCACCGTCAGCCTCCTCGACACCAGTGAAGTCCTCGTCGAGGCCGAGCTTCTTGAGGGCACGGCGGGCAATGAGGAGACCGGTAGCGTAAGCGGCAGCCCAGTTGGTGAGACCGTGCTCGATACCGTAGGCCTTGAGCTCGTGCGAGTAGGCAGAGACGAAGACCTTGTCGCCAGAGATCTCAGAGGTCACGATCTGGCAGATGATGTCCTTGTTGGTGAAGCGGACGACCAGGCGGTACTTGGGAGCATTGTACTTGTTCTTGGCCTGGGTGATGAGGCGCTTTCGGGCGTAGTAATCGGTCTTGCCCTGCTGGCGGCGCTTGTACTTGGTCTGGTAGCGGCTACGAGATTGTCAGCAATTTCTCAAGGTGGAGGGAAACCCAGTGTAAGCTCACCTGTAGTACGCGCTGTTCTTCACCAACTTGTGGAAAACCTGTCACAAAATCCCCGAGTCAGCAATTTGCGCTTCAGATGCTCTTCTCCTTCCGAAGCAACTTGCGGTGACTCTTTCAGAGCAATTGGCATTTCTGCCGTAAAAGAAAAAAACACCAAGGGAACTCTCCGGTGAAGATATTCCCTTGCGATAGGCCTCAACTTACCATCTTGACGGTATTTGCTCAACGACGACTTGAGTGTTGAAGTTTGGAAAGTTGGTGCTGAGAGAGGAATAAGCCGTAAATTCTCGATGGTGGGGGATATTTTCATAGCCCTAATCTACATCGCTTAGCTTCATTTGCTCCAGTTTGGACCTGGGTTGGGGACGAGGATAAGACTGGTCACGTGTCTACCGTTTTATCTTATCTTATCTTTCCCATACGCCAACCCAGATGGGGGATCTGCCGAGGCTCCTCGGATACCCCAAGCCTCGGTGGAGTCGCTGTTGGGATAGAAGATCGCAAGAATACGTTGAGTAGTAGTTATATGGTTAAGCTCTTACATATTTCAGATTTTTATATTCACCTTCTGATCACTTTCATACAAGCCTATTCCTTTCTATCTGTCAAGCCGGATATAATGTCGGAGTCTAAGCCCAAAGTTCTGTTGTTCGATATAGGGGGTGTTTGTGTAAGTGATTCGAGACATGATGTTAACCACCAATCGCCATTTGCTTTTCAATCCTCTGGGCACCTCGACTCTAGACACGTAGTCATCTAACCCACATACATAATTACTGACTCCCCCAGGTCGTTTCCCCCTTCCAAGCAATCCTCGACTACGAATTAAGCCTGGGGATCCCTCCAGGGTGGGTCAACTATTCAATATCCAGGACTGCTCCCAGTGGCTTCTGGCATCGTTTGGAAAAAGGAGAAATCGAGATGAATGAAGAGTTCTTCAGGGGTTTCAGTCAAGACCTTCATGATCCCGTCAGATGGGAGACCTTCTACAAGCGGGAGCAAGACAAGAGTCCCAGTCTCCCAAAGGAAACCCCTCCCGTTCCGTCAATCGATGCAGAATGGCTTTTCAACGAGATGATGACCGTTTCTAACGAAGCCGACCCATGGATGTTCCCAGCATTGAGAAAGCTGAAGGAGGATGGGCGATTCATTCTCGCAGCTCTGAGTAATACTGTCATCTTTCCGCCTGGGCATAAGCTCCACCAGGACCATTTCTTTGACGAGCCTGTGCGGCAGATATTTGATGTCTTCATCTCCTCCGCCCATGTTGGAATCCGAAAACCAGATCCAGCCATTTATAAGCTGGCTCTCGACCGAGTAAACGAATTCGCGAAAGCCAATGCTCATTCAGCTCGGGGGGGGAGCTTGAGCTGGGAGGTTGGTATCAAGGCAGAGGAAGTAATGTTTCTCGATGATATCGGGGAGAATCTGAAGGAAGCACGCCGACAAGGACTGCAAACAATCAAGGTGAACCTTGGCCGGGCATTTGAGGCCGTTGATGAGCTGGAGAGAGTGACTGGATTGAAGCTCGCTGGTGATCATCCAAGGATATCCAGTGAGGGAAAGGTTCAGAAAGTCAAGGCAAAAATGTGAGATAGATTTGAGAATCTTCAGGAGCACTCGTTTATCAAACCTTCCTGGCGATATAGACGTAGAGAATATCAGATACCTCAACCTCACCATAAACTGCAGCATTGTGCCACTCTTCTTTGAAATATTCTCTCCCCTTGACTCTCAGCTCTTCCGTTACAATTGAGGCAGTCAGCGGGCCATTGATAACGTAGTCAAATTGCTCATCTGCCTTGTCAAGACCGAAATACGTCGAGCCAAGTCCAACAATCTTTTCCAAAGTCACAACCCTTTCAACCACAAACCCACAACTTCCCAATATCCGACTAAAAGACTCTTTGGATTTGATCCAGCTTCGGTTGGAGGGGAATGGCATGCCCAATCGGCGAGCGACTTTCTCTAATAGCAGGCCCGAGCGAAGATTATACTCATGAGTGATGTCGATGGCAACTCTACCGCCTGGCTTGAGATACTCTCGCCAGTGAGCGACAACTTCCTCTGGGTGTTCGAACAGAACAAAGGCATTTGAGCATAGAATGAGATCAAAGCTGTCCCTGTCTACATTTGGACAACCAGTCAAGTCAGTGACGCTGTGTCGCACGAGTTTCATACGAAGATGCAATGTTTCGTCGCGATCCAGTTTCTTGCGTGCTTCCGAGAGCATCGCTTCAGTTATGTCGACACCGACGACAATCCCGTCATCGCCGACGTGCCTTGCTGCAATGACAGCCTTCAGGCCAGTTCCACATGCGAGGTCGAGAACGCGATCGCCGGGTTTAATGGGAACAAGTTCCATGAATCGCTTGCTGTAGTCGGGGTGCCAAGAATCCTCATAGGTGGTTGCTCGTTCAGTGTACATGCGCTGAGCGGCATCTGATTGACTTTCGGTCGGTGACATGACGAAAGTGTTTGTAATCAAAATTGTGAAATTGTGAGAGTATCAGCCAATACAGTTTTAAATGGCAGTGATAGGTTCGTCGACCGATTCAACTGATGGTCTATCTTTGTGCTTCAGAGAGTCAATCGTGAGATGTCAGATATTCTTGGTTGACAGAACCGGGGCGTTGTTACACCGAACACAGTTACGAGTAGCCTCAGAGTAGTCTAGTATTCTCGTTGATTGGCTCCTCATCACGTCTCAACTTACTCCCTACTAGGTAGTACAACTGCGAATCGCGATAATTCAATCAGAGAAGTGTGATTCCTACCCGAGAACTTGCAACCCATCTCCATATCATTGCCCTCCAACTCATTCATAGGGTTGATGATTCAATCCAGTTCGCTTCCGCAGAAGTGACGCCATGCTTGGGAAGCCATCCCCACAACTCGCAACGGCCCGTCCGCGTGGTTGTGATGCGATGTCGCCAATATCTTCGGTAGAACGCCCCATAAGATTGCGCGTTTGAGAAACACCAATTTTAGAGACGGAACTGGGACTGGATTTGACTCGAGGCGCCCTCGGATGCCTCGTGACCCTTGATGATAGGACTCGCAGGGGGCGCAGAGTTTCGAGACCAGGGTATGTAGAGCCAACTGCATAAACTAGTACTGGGTAGTTAGTATCTGCCAACATCTATACCTTGAAATGGCACACTCGCTGACTCTTTATCCCTCAAACTTGAGGTAACCGCCCGCTGAAGCCTCAGAAATGATTTGGGCCAAGATAGAGGTCAGTATGTTAGTAATGCTCTTGTCATGAGTGAATGACATCGTTACTACTGAGTGAGTTGAGGTAGGAAATCAGACTATCACAGACGGAGAGCACCATATAAAGGAAAACAATAGACCATAACTCCTCTCACCAAGGATATTGTATCATCCAACGTCTTTCTACCCAGACTCCACCCAGCTGAAGTCCTCCCCGGCCTGTTTTCACGACCACGGTCTGTGAGGCAGACACATCCTGCAGTAGTAGAAACCTTGGAGGCCCTCCTCGTAGACACTGCCCCCAAAGGACACGGGCGCCTAGAGATACTCTCGTCAAGTTATATATCGTCAGTCCTCCCTGCGCTGCAAGCGTCATGTTGGCATAGAAACCACCACCAGCCTTTCCTTCTTGCAGCGCAATCCCAGTAGACTCGAAGCTCAGCTTCTGGACTTGTCCAATATGACCCCTTCCACTTCCAAGATTTCTTGGCCCACTTCTACTGCCTCCCTCTACGAGCTTCTCAACATCGATACTGACATGAAAAAGTGCCATGCTTCGACGACGAAGAAGGCTCGTTGCCAGAATCCAATCAGCAAAGCCAACTCGGCCCTTATCACTTGTCTCTTGGAGAAAGCAGTTACTCAAGGAAGCTTTTCTGCTGCTCAGGCCACACTCCGAGAAGTCTCTTACTTAATTATGTGTCAGCGTGTCCATCAGAAAGATGGTCCTCCTCATTTGTCAAAGTGGCAGAAAGTCCTTGAGCCCCTTAAAGTGGTGCATATCAAGAATGAAGACAAGGAGGATGCTCTCAAATCCGAGAAAGAAACAGATAATATACCACCAACCGCTCCTGTTACTTCATCGCAACAACAGGTTCAGCTCAAGAGCAATACACCTATATCTATTCCTACTTCTCGTTGCAGATCCCAGCCGTCCCCTTCCACGCCCAAGAAACCGTCCCCAAAGCTCTTACTACCCAAATTACCTTCGCCAAAGAGCCCCAAAGTCGTACATGAGTTCGAAGATTTCTCCCGCCGCCGCTCGACCCTAGAGACTAATAAAGCGATGAAGAAGCTACTTCTTCGCTCCTTGAAGGAGGGGGAGACAAAGAATGGAGGCAACATCTACCTCTATACCTATTCTGAGAGCTACCACGACGCGCATCCCTATATCAAGATAGGCTTTTCTCAAGACGTCAGTAAGCGTATGCGAGGATGGAAATACAAGTGCGGCTACGACGTGAAAGTGCTCGGTGAGTTTCCGGCCGAGCACTACGCCAAGGTTGAGAAAATTGTACATGCTCAGCTCTGGAACCAGAGGAAGCGAGAAAAGGGATGTGCTTGCAACGTTTGCCATCAGGAGTGGTTCAAGGTCGACGCTATGACTGCCTCAAAGATCATTGCCTTATGGACTGGCTGGATGAGACGAGAGCCATATGATGAAGAGGGCAATATCCTGGATAAATGGCGTGTCAGAATTGAGGGCCTTGACATGGCTGATCCTGATTGTTGGGACTTGCTCGTCAAGGGGCTCTTCGATGATGATGTCGAGGAGTCTGAGCTGTCCGAAGGAGATAGCTTTGCATGGTCAAGTGATGAACAGTCCGAGATCTCCGAGGAAGATACTTTTGGAGGTTATGATGCTGACAACCCGAGATTACTTTCACTGGACAGCGAATCTGACGATGAGGCATACGTAGAAGATAATGAACGATAGGGCCACGTATTACAGGACATTTGGCACGATTGTAAGATATGGGTGGCGAATACCGGCATTTTCTAGGAGTTATGATGGTGTTTTCTAAAGCTTTTTCTGATATTAACTATGATACCCTGCAAACCCCCGATGTTCACTTCAACCGCCTCTCATCTAGGCATTAATGAGTTCATATGTGCGTCTTCATAGCCTAGTCGTTAGTCAAGGACTGTGGCTCCAGTGAAAAAAGTCAATCGGGGATTTTAGACCTTCCATGGCATCCCTTCCAAGAGCC